TTATTATTAAAGATATATTATTTTGACATTATATAATATTTATATATAATTCATTAAACTTGAACATGTTCATGAACTTGAACAGAACTTGAACTAAACTAAAACTTTAAATTCAAGTTCAGTTCAAGTTCATAAATTTAAAGTTTAGTTCATATTTAGATTTAAAGATCTGTAAAATTTAAAGTTCAGTTCAGGTTCAATTAAACTTGAATCTAAATCTAAATTGAACTAAACTGAACTTTGAAACACTAGTTGTTGTTAATTGTTAGTATTTCTTAAAATAAAATATAGTTGTTTATTTGTTTATTGTTGCTATCTAATAGTATTTTCTAAAGCTAAATATAGCTACTTTGTTTGTTTGTTGTTTTGGCAATTTCTTGTCATATATCTTATATTGTTAGATTTATAAAATCTAAAACAAAATTCCAAATTCTCTAAATTTTTTATAAAAAAAACTTGTAAAGAGTATTTTATTTTTTAGATTTGCTTATTTTCTAGTTCTTGTACTAAGAAACTTGAGATAATTTTTTGTGCTGAATCTTTTTGCTTAGTATCATAAAAGATATTTGTTAATAAATCTTTTATTTTTTGTTTTAACAAATTTTAAAATTAATAATTAGCGAAAGAGTTATTGTTATATTTAATAGTTTAACAAAAAATAATTTATAGCTAACAAATATAAATTTTATAGTAAAAATCAGTAAATATTTATTAATTATCTTATTTAGAGAATATTTAAAATAAAAGCAACTCATATTTTATAATAATTTTCTTAATTAATTTTAGAGTTAAAGTTATCTTATATTAAGATTAGATTAGGTTTTAGGTTATTATATATAAACAAAATTGCCTTCTTGACTTTTTACTTAATCTATCTGAGGTAGGTTTAGACTATACATGCCACTGAAATAGGTTTTTAAAAAAAACCCTATTTTGTCTCTATTAGAGCAAATTGAAATTTTTTATATGCAAAAGCAAATCTAATTTAGGTAGTTATGTTTTTTATAATTTCGTCTCTTCAAAAAAAGTATCAAAAAAATGTTATCTTTTAAGTAAAATAGGTCAAAACAATTTTGTCTTCAAATTTTAATTTCAGATTTTAGTCTTTAAAATAATTTTGTTAGCATGTATAGTTTAAACTACTGGTTTTTCTATTTTTTAGATTTTTCATTTTTGTTTCTTGCTTTGCTTTGCCTTGCCAACAATCATCAAAATTCTATAATTTGATTGGTTGTAATTATGTAAAATTGCTCCACTTTAGACAACCTCCTTTTATAGTAAGTAAAATCTTTTATAATTCAAATTTTTAAGAAAAATTCTATAGTAAAAAAAATTAAAAAATACAAATATTTTAACCGATTTTAATAATTTATCACTATTAGAATCAGAAAAATTAGTTCTACAACTTTTATTAGAAGTCAAAAAAGGCTTATATAATAATCTAACCAGATTCTATACTATAAAAAAAACTAATATTGTTTTAACCAAATCAATTTGACCATATAACCAGATCAATTTGACCAATTTGACCAGTCTGTTCTAAGAATTTTATTAATCAAATTGGTCAAATAGTAAATTTAGTTATATAATATATATATTATATTTATACATATAATAAACTTGACCAATTTGACCAATTTGATTAATTTGACCAATTTGACCAGCAAAGTTTTGGTTGGTCACTAGTTTTAACAACGCTAGAAAAAATATATAAATTTTCGATTTTGTTTATTATAAAATTTACTATTTTTTTACCTCTACAAAGGCGAACTACCTCTTAAATATTTTTTTAGTAACGATTTTTGACTTATTCAATATATACTTTATTATTTTAAATCAAGGCATAAGTTTCCCACTTCAGGTCATGATGGATGAGATATGGTTGTTTTTATTGAAGACTAAATTTTAAACGTTAATAATGAGAGGATCATTTAATGCTAATTAAGTTGTATTTGATGCGCATGATATTTTTTAGGGTTGGATTGGTCCGTCCGGTCTGTCTCGGTCTCTAGTAAGACTGGTCCTAATAGTATCTATCGATCCTATCGGTTCGGTCCCCCAGTCTTAAAAATAAACTATTTTCGAGTATATTATCAATTTTAGCTGTCGTTATCGAAATAAATCCATGAAATAATAGTTTTTTAATTGTTTAAAAGTTTGTAAAAGTTTATTTTAATAGTTCAAAAGCTTATTTTAATAGTTTATAAATATATTTTAATAGTTTATCATTAACCGGTCTGAATTTGTCAAAAGACTGAAAACCGAAGACCGTGTAACCGGTCCAAAAGACCGGTCCTTAGCTGGTCTTCTCAGGACCGAACCAACCTTAATATTTTTCGAGCAAATCTTCCTCTTTTTGAGTAATTGAAGCTCGAGGATTTTTCAAATCTTTTACGAAGTTCGCTTCGTTTTAACATTCGTGCACTAACTTATTCAAGTTTCTATTTTTATAAAAAGCTAACTTATTCAAGTTTCTATTTTTATAAAAAAGTAAATATCGAAAGATCAACCCAAAAAAAAAAGTATAAAAATAAAAAAAAAGAAACAAAATAAATTAAATACGCGAATTAAAAATAAAATACTATATATATAATCGAATATATAATTTGAACCTATTGCGAAGTTGGAATTTTTTTTGTAGGTTGTATTTTATGTTATTTATCACATGCATATAGTTAAATAAATAAATAATACGTGTAGAAAAAAAAAAAAATGTATCTTTACGTAATTTTTAATGTGTTACAAGGAATATTTTTTAGATAACGATCGATAGGTAAAATAATTATTAATAAATTTTACCCCAACGTTATACTGTACGTATCGTACGTACATACGCACGTACGCATGCCGGTACAGTACCTAGTACTATTAAACAACATACACCACTATAGATGTAACCACAAATTATTTGGGACCATGTGTTGATTAGTATAGCACTAGTTTCGGTGTCTTTTTTTTTATTGCCGAAACTAAGTGATACTAATTAACACACAGTTTTGGACGTTCCAAATAGTTTGGGTTACATCACTAACTCTAGTTGGAATACTTCACTATGCTACATGACGAAAGAGCATGTAACAAACATCATAATGAATAAACTTTTATTACAAAGGTCGATCTGCATTATCGTTATGGGTTAGGCTGCAGAAATTAGAACATATAGACGGTGACATACTGGTACGCGAGGAGGTTTCTATCTGTGCTATGACGACAAAGACAACAGTTACAAAATTATGACTATCCATTTAAGAATTTGGATAAGTTCATCAAGATCAGGTATTACGACTTCTTTGCGTGTCCTAATACAAGGTTTTCCGCATGCCTTATGTTTATCTTTTTCAATTCCCATATAAAAACTGTCAAATTGGTAACACTGGTTTATATTTATTATAAAAAGTATTTGGACCCTAAAAATTGGGCATTTTAAATTGATCGACCGAATACACTCAATCAAACTATAATATCCTTTTAGCTATTTGGCGGCTTACGTAATCACTGACAACAACACGAACCGAACGCGAATCATTTGCGGGCATTAAAATTTCACAGTCAGATAACGATAATATCCTGATCCGTTAGGAAACTTCGTTTTCGCTTATTCACATGCGGATCAGGATATTATTCATTATCCCTCGTTATTGACTTTTTACCCTCAACATCTACATGCAGTATTTTTCATCCTTATATTTGTTAAGAACAAAAGATTTGCGGACGTTACTATCTGATATTATCAATATTACTAAATAATTAAATAATTAAATAATTGTTAATTATTTTATCTATACTACTTTACTATTTTATTAAGCTCTAATTTTAACACGTCAAATAAAAAAAAAAAGAGGTCAATTACGATAAACTTTTTTTTTAATCGATAGTGTTCAAAATTTTATCGTTGTTACGTTTATGAAAAAAAAAGAAAAAATCAATTTTAAAATCTTATAGTAATTAAATTAAATTATCTATGAACATCCTTCAAAAATTTAAAAATATCTATTTCTTTCCCTTTCTTTTTTAAATATTGTTCTATCAATTTAATGTGAGGGTCCGGCATCTGTCTTTTCCAACCTCCAATATAAAATGCATCCAAATCAGCTTTACAGTTTTCAAAAAACTCTTCCAGGGTTGTCAATACTACCCAATTTAAATCAATACTCAAATGTTTCATCGACAATGGTAATCCCTCCGCTAACTCTGGTAAATATTCTTTAAATTCGCGTTCTTGACCATAAGGGCCAATCAATTTCAAAGTTGTTAAATTTTTACAAACTGATAATAATAAAGAAAGTTGTGGTAATTGTTCGCTCTTGAATGGAATTATTAACCGTTTTAAAGTCGTGATGCTCTGTAAATGATTTACTACTACATCTAGAATTGGAAGTGTTAAATTCCTAGCAACTTTATCACTATACCACAAATCTTGTAACGATGTTGAATTTGCCTTTATCATTGCGATAAAAATTGTGCTAACATTGCATAATAAAGATTTAAAATGCAATCTTTTCATTTTCGGGAACTTTACTGTTGTTAAAGGTCGTAAGATTATATCGCTTGAAAACAAACAACTACTAATGACAAGTGATTCAAGATTTGTGCAATTTGATAAGGCTTGAAATGCATTTATAGATTTTTTTGCGTCTGAATTTTCCATATCATTAATATAGAATTTTGCATAAACTAATTCAAAATGTGTAAGTGTTTTAGATTGTGTCACTAACGCGTCCATAGGTC